GCACAGAGAGGAGTGGAGAAGTAGGTGGGGAGGGAAAGGTGCATGCGTGGGTGAGGCTGACCTGGGCACTGGAGCCTGGCTCCGACCCACCGGCAGGTCTCTGCTCGGATTTGTTTCCCACCTGAGCCATTCTCTTCCTCTTGAGGCCTTTGGGTTTGAGTGGACTTGAATGCTTGCTTCTCTGTCATGAAAACCCCTCCTCAAAGACAACAATCCCCTCCAGTCTCACAAGCTTCTTGGCTACCTAGGTGTCCAGAGACTGCCCCACCCTCGCTCTGCCCTTCTGCTGCACTGGGGTCTGTCACTGAATTCGGATACTTATAGCTCTTGCTGAGGTATGTTTTAGCGCTGGGAAACCTGTACTTTGTATCTCTTATTTTTTTTAAAGATCTTTAATTTTTAAAATTTTTTTACTTTTTAAAGATACTATTTATTTGAGAGGGAGTGGGAGTGATCGAATATGAATGGGGGGTGGGCAGAGGGAGAAGCAGATTTCCCGCTGAGCAGGGAGCCTGATGCGGGGCTCGATCCCAGGACCTGAAGATCATGACTTGAGCCGAATGCAGACGCTTAACTGCCTGAGCCACCCAGATGCCCCCAAAGATCTTATTTTTAAGTAATCTCCACACCCATGGTGGGGCTTGAGCTCACAACCCCGAGATCAAGAGTCACACACACTACCAGTAGACCCAGCCAGGCGCCCCATATCTTTTTTTTTTAAGATTTTATTTAGGGGCGCCTGGGTGGCTTCAGTCGTTAAGCATCTGCCTTCGGCTCGGGTCATGATCCCAGAGTCCTGGGATCGAGCCCCACATCAGGCTCCCTGCTCAGCAGGAGGCCTGCTTCTCCCTCTCCCACTCCCCATGCTTGTGTTCCCTCTCTCACTGTGTCTCTCTCTGTCAAATAAATAAATAAAAATCTTTAAAAAAAAAAAAAGATTTTATTTGTCAGAGAATACAAGCAGGGGAAGGGGCAGTGGGAGAGGGAGAAGTAGGCTCCCCGCTGAGCAGGGAGCCCGATGTGGGACTCAATCCCAGGACCCTGAGATCATGCCATGAGCCAAAGGCAGATGCTTAACCAACTGAGCCACCCAGGTGTCCCAAACCCGTATCTTTTTTAATGAGAAGTTATGTCTATTTGGCATGATCCTCATGAAGGGTCGCAGATGAGCCAGTCAGCAACTTTACATAAAGTGAATGGGCCTTGACCTGCTTCCCTCGTGCCGGGAGACCATAGGGGGTGGTGGAGATCAGCTGCCCTGTCTGAAGGGGACGCAAGCAGGAGGAGTGGGGGAGGGAGAAGCAGGCTTCCCGCCGAGCAAGGAGCCTAATGCGGGTCATGATCCCAGGACCCTGGGACCATGACCTGAGCCGAAGGCAGACGCTTAATGACTGAGCCACCCAGGCGCCCTGGGCATCCAGATTTTTATGTGGAGATTGTAGTTACTTCATTTTTGAGGTTACCTGTATTCTACAATTCACCCATTTAAAGTGTACAATTTAGTGGATTTTTAGTTCAGTGCTGTGCAACCATCACTACAATTTTAGAACAGTTTCGTCACCCCGAAGAGAAACCCCACGTCCATTAGCAGTTATTCCCTATTTCCAGGTCCCCCAGACCCTGGCAACCACGAATCTGCTTCTTGCCTCTATGATCCACCTATTTGGCACATTTCCTATAAATGGAATCATACAGTATGTGACCTCTTCTGGTTCCTTCTGGTTTCACTTCATATAATGTCTCAAGGTTCATTCCTGTTGTAGCATGAATCAGTTCCCCTTTTTATGGCTGAGTAAATTCCATTCTGTGGATAGACCACATTTGTTTTCCATTCATTCCCTGATACGCATCTGAGTTATTTCCAGTCTTTGGCTATTATCAATAACACTGTGAAAGCTGTCTCATTTTAAAATGTTGGCAGCTACTTAGATAAGGTACTTAGGAGTAGTCAAGCTCATAGACACAAAGTAGAATGGTTCATGGGGGGCCAGGGAGTGGGTGGGGTGGGGAAGGGAATGGGAAGTTAGTGTTTAATAGGAACGGAGTTTGGGAAGATGAGAAAGTTCTGGAGCTGGAGGGTGGTAAGGGCTGCACAACCGTGAATATAATTAATGCCACTGAACTATACACTTAAACATGACTAAAACGGGGGGCATCTGAGTGGCTCAGTGAGGTGTCCGACTGTTGGATTCAGCCCAGGTTGTGATCTCGGGATCCTGGGATCAGGCCAGTGTCAGGCTCTGTCCTGAGCATGAGTCTGCTGGACTTTCTCTCTCCCTCTCCTTCTGCCCCTCCCTGTCTCTCTCTTGCTCTCTCTCAAATCTTTAAAAAAAAAAAAAAGACTAAAACTGTAAACTTTATATTTTACCACAGTTAGGAAAGTGAGAAATGACACCTAACTACTCTATTTCAGGCACCAGATTTCAGAAAACCAGGCACGCATGGCATCCATCTAGCTGGGCCACCTCCACCAGCAGCAGGGGGTTGTGGTGCCTGGAGTCATCCCTTCTGTGTAGTGCTGAACCAGACTTCCCAGCACTGGGTATGACCCACGTGCGCGTCTTTGCTGCAGTGACGGCACAGGCAGGGCACCTCAACTTCAGTGTCCAGGGTGCGGGAAGGGCTGGGTTTCTCTCCAGCCCCATTTAGTTATTGCCAAGAGACAAGGGAAGAGGGTCGCCATGAAAGTCCGTTACAGATCAGATGGTTTAAAATACTAGGATTGGGGGGTGCCTGGTGGCTCAGTCGGTTAAGCGTCTGCCTTCGGCTCAGATCATGGTCCCAGGGTCCTGGGATCGAGCCTGGCATTGGGCTCCCTGCTGAGCAGGGAGACTCCTCCTGCCTCTCCCTGCTTGTGCTCTCTGTCGAATAGATGAAATCTTTAAAAAAACAAAATACTAGGATTGTTTTGTAAGACCTCATTTTTTAGAACAGGTTTAAGTTCTCAGCAAAACTGAAAGGAAAGTACGGAGATTTCTCATACACCCTCTGGCCCCACATGCGCAGCCTCCCCTACTGTCACCACTACCAGAGCGGGACACTTGTTCCAACTGATGAACCTGTACTGATACGTCATCATCACCCAAAGTCCACAGTTTACATCAGGGTTCGCTCTGGGTGGTGTACGTTCTGTGGGTTTGGACAGATCTATCATGACATTATAACATCATAGAGTATTTTTACTGTTGGGGATTTGGGTTACGTGCGCAGTAACCCAATACATTCATTGGTGAATGACCAGTGGGTCATGGTCATATCCAACCCATGGTTGGATAGTTCATAGCACGTGGAGCATCTGATTGTTGCACACAGTTCTATCTGCTTCATTGGCTTTGGGACGTGGGCTGTTGCCACTGAGGTCAGCTGCTTTGGCCACACATGGGATGGGGTTAGTGGGTGCCACCCTTTACAAGAGACAGGGAACAGGCCAAAGGGCACTGGAGCCTAGCAGGGTTTGACCATGTGTGTCAGGAGAGGGAGGGTGACCCAGAGGTGTCAGACACTGCTTTCACAAATGATCTCATGGTGCCCTCGGAACAGACTGGCCAGGTAGCACCAGGTAAGCAGGCTGGCGAGGCTCAGCGATGTGCCTGGGTCCTGTCACTTTGGAACCCAGTGTGGGCTCGCTGGTTTGCTCTGCACCTGGTATTCCTCCCAGGCTCCGGACTGACCTCGGGCCACTCCCGGATCTCATCACAGTGAGTCTCAGCCCCAAGCAGGTGAATTTCCCACCCTGGGACCTGGGGGACTTGGCTCACATGGGGCTGGACGCAGATGGCCTGTCATTCTCTTGGAAGCCCACACTGTCAGTCTTCCTTCCTGTCCTGTGGGGGAGGGGGGGCTTGCTGCCCTCCCCTCAGACCTCAGAGGCTGTCCCTGTCCCCCTAAAGTAGGCCCCCTCCTCCCATTATTATCTGTGCCACCTCTTCTCTGCAGCCCTGTGTCAATCTGTAAGTATTCATGCATATTTATATCTGGCTCTCCCACCAACCTAAGCTCAAGGAGGAGAGCATAACCTTTTTGGTTAATGTTGTATTTAGATTGTCAAACAAAAGCTCTTTCAGGGGCGCCTGGGTGGCTCAGTTGGTTGAGCGACTGCCTTCGGCTCAGGTCATGATCCTGGAGTCCCGGGATCGAGTCCCGCATCAGGCTCCATGCTCAGCGGGGAGTCTGCCTCTCCCTCTGACTCTCCCCCTCTCATGCTCTCTCTCTATCACTGTCTCTCTCAATAAATAAATAAAAATCTTAAAAAAAAAAAAGCTCTTTCAAGTAATCAATGGATCGAATGTATGTGGTGGGACTTGGTTAGGATGGAGGTTATGCAAATCCGTAGATGAAAAACAAGCCTGCCACGGGGCCTCCGGTACGTGACATGTGTTCTCTGGGCGTTGACCTTCCTCTTTTCTAAAGTGAGCCGGAGAAGTCGAACGAGACCCACCATCCCAGCCTGTGCGCACACCATCAGCGAGGCCTCGCTGTCACTTCCTTGACTTTGCCTCCCCCAGCCTTTGCTTGAAGCGCGTCACCCGTTTTCAGCAGTGTGCAGTCTTGGCGGCCTCGGCTCCACAGTCTGCCATCGCCCTTCAGATGTTCTGCCTGGCCTGTTCTGAAGATCACCCACATCTCAGGGCTGCCGCAACAGGGGGAAGACCCCACCCCAGAGGGTGACACCTTCAAGCTCCAAGAAGGAACATGCGGTTGGCCTCACCCGCGGTCAACAGGCATGGCTTGCTGGCTGGCTTGGGGAATCCCCTCTGTGCCCTGGACCCTACATGGTCCCATGTAGTTGAAGCAGCAGTCAGAGCTGTGGTCACAGCGCTGTCTCCCACCTACTGGACGAAACTTATAACTGCATTTACATCCTGTGTTTTGAGCCCTCCACCCCCGGCAGGGGAGGGGTGCTGAGCCACTTGATGCTTCCTTTTGGAATTTTCATGCCCCAGCAGCTGCCACCCCAACCCGAGTCCCTGAAACAAAGTCCTCTTCTTTTGGAACCCATCTGTGAGAACAATGGCCTTTATTTAAAAAATAATTTTTTTGTAACACAAGAACGGATCACTGTGACACTTCCCCGTGCCTCCAGACGGGGCTGAGAGATGGCGGGGTCAGAGGCCAGCAAAGTCTCCTTTGTGCTGCTCCAGCCACTGGTCCAGTGTCCTGGCCTTGGGGTTGAGCCTCAGGGTCAGTTCAATGTCACGGTCAGGTTTCAGGGCATAGAAACGGAACATGTTGGCCAGGTCCCGGGCGCCAGGGAAGCCATACTTCTCATAGTCCTCCGGGGTCGTCTAGAAACAGAGGGGAGTCTGTTGGGTCTGTCAGCATCTCTGTCACCCCAGCTGTGGACAACCCAGTCCCGACCCAAGTCCTTTCCAGTAAGTTCCTCTGAAAAAAGTTCAAAAACCACTGTTTTAAGTCAACTTAAATCCTGTTCTTTCAAAGGGTGCCTGGCTGGTTCAGTCAGAAGAGTGTGCGACCCTTGATGTTGGGGTCATGAGTGAGAGCCCCACATTGGGTGTAGATATTACTAAAAAAAAAAATCGTAAATCCTTTTGAGTTCTTTTGAGATCATGAGATGGAAACTTCTCAGCCCTTTCCAAACCAGAACTCTGCAAACATCACTTTCTTACTCAAAAACCGAAGCTGTTCTCCTTTCCTGACCAAACTGAATGTAAACTCAGCTCCTGAAATCGTCCACAGCTGCATCAGACCTTTCTTTGTTGAGACGTAATGCACGGCCATTTAGGGCATGTTTTCTAGAGCACCTCCTTGCGCTAAGGAAGCACTTAACATCAATTACTCCGTTCAATCCTAACAACCAGGGAAGGAGATATTATTCATGCAACCATTTTATAGATGAGGATACTGAGGCAGAGAGGGTCTGGGACTGTGCCTCAAGGTCACACGCTGGTGGGTGTTAGGGCTGGGAGCAGGATCCGAGTCTGGGGAGTCTGACCCACCTGAAACACGCCCTGCCATGGCGTCCCCATCATTGCTTTGCTCGGGTCTGGGGGCTCTGGGGGTGGTTTTTATCTTTCAATGACCTGGGAGTTTCCCAGATTTTCTTTAATAAGTCAGTCTCACTACCATAATGGGAAGAACCAATAAGAAACAAGGCACCTGGGGTTCTGAACAGGAAGACTGAGGGTCAGCGGGGAGAGGGGGCCAGAGGGCCTCCCGCCCACCCAGCCAGGCCAAGAGGAGACGGGTGGGGCCCATCTCTCTGGTCTCCTTCCCCTTCCCTCCCTCAAGTCACACCCCAGAGAAGCCCAGCACCCCTGTGTATTCATGCCTTGCCTTGGACCCTCGTATCCCCTCTTCCTGGAAACTTCCTCACTAGTTAGTCAACTGCCTAAGCCAGACCTGGCTCAGCAGCCACACCTGGCTCCCAAGTACAGCATGACAAAGGTTCACAGTGATGAATTCAGATTTACCCTGCTCGGAGTGAGGGGGCCGCCCTAGATACTGCTTCCCTACCACCCATAAAGCCCCCACTGGGGGTGAGAGTGACCAGAACGGGCTGCCAGAGCCCCCTGGTGGGAGCTGGGATGGCACCAATCCGGGGCCCAGGACCGCGGGAGCCCACCTTGGCATTGCGCACGGCCTTCCCAGTGTGCTTGGAGAGCAGGGCGGCGTACTCCTCTGCTGTGTGCTTGCAGGTGCTGAGCCCAATGTTCCGGCTGACGTATTCTTCCGGCATCTTCAGCAGGCTGAGCACCACGGGACCCAGGTCGGTCACAGATATGCCATCCATGGGCACATCACCCATGGGCAAGCCTGGGGGGGGAGGGGAGGTGTGCTAGCACATGTTCCTGCCATGCCCACCGCCAGGACACGGGCACAGGTCAGCGCCCCCAGTGTCTGTGGTGGAGGGTTCACTCAGGAAACAGGATGCGATCCGAGCTCTGCCACCTTGGCCCCTGTTTACGCCCTGAGCCCTGGTTGCTCCATTTACAGAGTGGGGCGAACGCTGGGCCTGCCCACCCTCCCAGGGCTGAGACAGGAACAGGAAGGAAATGAAGGGGCTGCTCCCGAGCCGCTGGCCCCCGTGCACTCTGTGGTATCTGGGATTCCTGACCTGGAAAACCAACTATGCTAACAGGAATGCCGGATGCCGAGGCCAGGGACTGGCCCAGAGTGGCACGTGGCAGGTCCTCCCTAAATGTGTGGAGTCAGTGGGTGACTCTACCTGCCAAGGTGGTCTGGTGGCTGGGGAGGCAGAGCAGGAGCACTTGGGTCCTGCCACTTTCTGCGCCCATGAGAAGGGTCCACCACAGCTGCCCATTCAGGTCACCCAGAGACTTTGTGGGGACAGAGCTCAGCTAGAGTCCGAACACAAGAGGTATCCCCGACCAGCTCTGCAAACTATAAAAGGGCGATGCCAGTGTGCCAACACCAGGCCCAGACTGCTCACCGTCCCTGCTGTTCACGCACAGGGGAGGGGTGGCCGGCTGAGGACCCTGGTCAACCACAGGACATGAGCTGCCTAAGGCTCCCTGTAGCCCATTTACAGACGGAGAAGAAAGTGCTTTCCTACTCTGTGACACCTACCACTGGACCTGATCCTCCAAGTCCTCTCCTTACTCCCGAAGGAGAAGTAACAAGTGTGCTCATCTCTGGGACGAAGCATCGCATCACTGCCTCCTGGCAGATTTTCTCATCGCCCCTGCAAGAGTCAGTCACGTCCATTCCACAGAGCAGGAAGCAGAGGCCCAGGGAGGTTACATGCTTTGTGCAAAGTCACAGGCCTAACATGAGGGAACCAGGGCTTGGACCCGGAACCATCTGAGGACAAGCCCATTTTCTACAACACCCACAGCTCCCCTCAGTGAGAGCGGACGCTCAGGAAGGAGTAGGGCACTCACTCAGCAAGTAGCTCTTTCCATCGGGGGCTTTCTGGGGCAGGAAGTAGGAGAGGAGATTCTCAAAATAGCAGGACAGCCGCACACTGGTCATGGGAACTCCGATGTCCCGGAAATATTCCTCTACCTCCCCTTTGCCATCAAAGTGGCTGCTGCCAGTCTCCCACCCGTCAGCTTCTTGATGTTCTCCAGGCCGCTGTAGACCACGTAGCAAAGGCCCAGGCGCTTGGCCAAATCGGCCAGCAGCTTTCCCTGGTGAGAAAGAAAGGAGAAGCCACAAAGCTAAGAGGGAGGATGTGTCCCCAGTCAGAGCCCTGGCTCTCCCACCCCCATTGCCACTGTGCCTGATGCTAAGAGGCTGACACCACTTCACCCTCTGATAAGGCTCCCTGTTCTGGAATGATGCTCGCACATGGTACCACGCCCTCACACACCACTGTGAACCTTCTGTCTTAGCGTCACTTCTCCAGATCACCCGGGTGGTTGTACTTCCCGATATGCTCAACTGCGGCCCTCCCACATGCACTGTGATGGGTGGGGGTAGGTCTTCTGCTTGGGAGAGGGCCGCACGGAGCTCTCCCACCTCTGCCTGCTCCATGCAAAGCCATGCTCCTTGAAGGGCCCCAGCAGGCCGCTAAAGAGGTGGTACAGCTCAGGGATGAAGCACAAACACTGCTTGGGGGCCACACCTGCTCTGCAATGCACTAGCCTCGAGATCCTGGACCAGCGACCTAACCTTCTGGCAGCGGTTAAACTGGGACAGCCACACCACCTGCCACATAAGAATGTGTAGGGGATTGAACGGTGGCCTCCAAAAAGATATGTGCACATCCTAACCCCCAGAACCTGTGAATGTGACCTTATTTGGGGAAAAAAATCTGCAGATATAGTTAAGGAACTTGAGATCATCCCAGGTGGGCCCTCAATCTGAGGACAAGGGTCCCTGTAAGAGACTGAAGAGGAGACATGGAGAGGAGAAGGCCACATGAAGGTAGAGACTGGGTGGATGTGGCCATGAGGAGAGCCAGCAGCCACCAGAAGCTGGAAGACGCAAGGAGTGGAATCGCCCTTAGAGCCTCCTTCTGAAGGCTCCTTGATTTTGGACTTCTGGCCCCCAGACCGGAGAAGAGTCAGTTCCTGTTGTTTTAAGCCACTCGGCTTGTAATGGCGGCCACGGGATGTGAACACAGGCAGTTGGGATAATGAGCCAAGACTGCCATCCATCAGAAAAGCTGTCCTCTCCACTTTGTGGGATGGGCTTCCATGTAAGATGTATTCAAAAACAATGTCAAGGCTAAAAACAAGTCTGGAGACCAGTGGTCCAGTCCAATCTCCCTTTATTTTACGAAGGCCCTTTTTCCTAACAAAGCCCAGGGCAGGGAAGGCCCACGTCCAAAGCAGGGCTGTGGCTGGCTGTGGATGACCCAGGGCTGAAAGCTAATGTGCTGGCCAGTCAGCAGGTGCCTCTCCTCTGCCATCACATTCCACAGATCCCTGAGTACCTGTGTGTGACGGGCTCTGTGCAAGTGTCCCCATCTTCAGTGGGATAGAACAATGGCCACGTCTCACATTCTCTGTTTCCTATCCCTCCCCGTGCTGCCTGGGCTCAATAACCAACTAACTAGAGAGAATGTGCATGGAAAACAGAATAAACCGAAACATCCAACACGTCAAAGGGGACACGGGGACTTTCTGCGCTGATGGAAATGTGTTCTGATTAGATTGGTAATATGTGGGTATATTTATATTCAAATTTTATCCAACAGTACAATTAAAATGTGTGCATCTTATTATCACAAAATGATAGGTCAACAGAGTTGGTTTTTTGGAAAGTGTAGAAAGTTACTGGATGACAAAGTAGATTATCAGCTGGGGGCTGGGGGAGGGAGGAACCGGGAGTGACTGCTAATAGGTACGGGTTTCTTTTTTTTTCTTTTCTTTTTTTTTTTTTTAAGATTTTTATTTATTTGAGAGAGAGAGAACACATGAGAGGGGATAGGGTCAGAGGACGAAGCAGACTCCCTGCTGAGCAGGGAGCCCGATGCGGGACTCGATCCAGGGACTCCAGGATCATGACCTGAGCCGAAGGCAGTCGCTTAACCAACTGAGCCACCCAGGCGCCCCTAGGTACGGGTTTCTTTTCAGGGTGATAAGATGTTCTGGAATTAGGTGGTGGTGATGGCTGCACAACTTTGAGAGTATACACTGAATTATACACTGAAAGGGCAAACTATGGTGTCTGAATGACATCTAAGCAAAAGTCACTGGAAGAGGAAGCAGCTGCCTCCCGCGCTCATTAAAGTCCAGGAGGACTGCATGGAAGAGGAGGGAAAAGGCCTGCAGTGGACAGTGGTCACAGGCAGGGTCAGCCCCTCTCTAGCAAGTTGGAGCTGCCTCCCAGGGAGCCCCTTGTAAAATGCCCTGCTCCTAGGCCAGCCTCCCCACATCTTCCCACCTGCCCTCACCTGCTTGACCTCCTGCTCCTGGCTGCAGTTTTCCCAGTAGTTGGTCACAATGAAGGCAGCATGGGCCCCACTCAGGGCCAGCTCCATGCTGGCTTCGTCATCCTGGTCTCCCCGGACCACCTCTGCACCCTGCAGCCCCAGCTCCTTTGCTGCCTTCTGCCCAGGGTCCCGTGTTACCACTCGAACCCTGAACGTCCCATCTTCCAGGAGCGTCCGGGCCACTGAGCCTCCCTGAGCACCTGTGAAGAGACAGAAAGACCTGCAGGGTGGGACCTGCCTGGGGGTCCTGCTCAGGGGAAGCCCCAAAGGGAACACTCCACACCAGCCAGACACCCAGACACTTTTCACCCGTGATCCTCACTGAACGCCTTACACCATTTAAAAAATAACAGCTTTATTGAGATAGAATTCACCCACCTTTTAAAGGGTAGATAATTTGTATTTATTTAAAAAGTATTTTGAAAAATCTGTATACTAGTTGGCTGATTTTGCCCAGAGTAAACAAATACTTACACTGGGCAGCTGAGACTTCTCCCACTGTGCACGCATCATACTTGCCTCGAATTTCACCAGTAAGACTCACTGCTTCAGGTCAAATAAATACATAAAGCATACAGTGCAGTGGTTTTTTGTATATTCAGAGCATGCAACCATCATCACAGTCAATTTTAGAACATTTCATTCCTCCCACCCCCCAAGAAAACCCATGCCCATCAGCACTCACTCCCTATCGCCCTCCCTCTCAGCCCTGGCAACCACTCATCTACTTTCTGTCTGTATCCATCTGCCTATTCGGGATGTTTCCCACAAATGGGATGATACAATATATAGCCTGCTATGTCCGGCTTCTTTCACTTAGCACGTTTTCAAAGTTCCTCCGTGTTTTAACAGGCATCACACCTTTTATCAAATGTTTGAAATGTGGGACACCTGAGTGGTTCAGTCAGTTAAGCGGCTGCCTTTGACTCAGGTCATGATTCTGGGGTCCTGGATGCATCGGGCTCCTTGCTCAGTGGGGAGCCTGCTTCTCCCTCTCCCTCTGCCTGCCGCTCCCCCTGCTTGTGCTCTCTCTCTCTCTCTGATAAATAAATAAATAAAATCTTTAAAAAAATGTTTAAAATGTATTATGGGGCAGCTGGCTGCTTGGGCGGTAGAACGAGCAACCTTAGGGTCATGAGTTTACTTGTACAAAATAAATAAGTAAAATGTATTACAATATTTAACGCATACACAAAGGGATGTCAACACCCATGTACCCACCCCTCAGCTTAAGAAATACAGTATTACCTACCATCTTCTTCCTTTTTTTTTTTTTTTTTAAAGACTGAGAGGCCCCCAGGCTGTCCCAGTCAAAAGAGCATGCAACTCTTGATCTCGGGGTCGTGAATTTGAGCCCCACTTTGGGTGCTTAAACTTAAAAATTGACTTAAAAATTAAAAAAAAAAACACCTTTAGAATAGATTTAAAAATGACTGCCTTCAGCTCAGGTCATGATCCCGGGGTCCTGGGATCGAGTCCCACATCGGGCTCCCTGCTAGGCGGGGAGCCTGCTTCTCTCTCTCTCTCTCTCTCATGAAAAAATAAATAAAACATTAAAAAAAAAAATGACTGAGAGGGGCGCATGGGTGGCTCAGTCATTAAGCATCTGCCTTCGGCTCAGGTCATGATCCCAGGGTCCTGGGATCGAGTCCCACATCGGGCTCCCTGCTCTGCAGGAGGCCTGCTTCTCCCTCTCCCACTCCCCCTGCTTGTGTTCCCTCTCTCGCTGTCTCTCTGTCAAATAAATAAAATAACATCTTTAAAAAAAATAAAAATGACAAAAAGTAAAATCATTAAAAGGAATAAAATAAAAATCATCCATAAATATATGTGTAAGAAAACTGGCTGTAGCACTATTTGCAATAGTGGAAATTTGTAGACAAATGACATGTCCTTGGGTAAGAATCTGGTTAAATAGTCGGGCTCCCTGCTCAGCGGGGAGTCTGCTTCTCCCTCTACCCTTCCCTCCTGCTCATGCTCTCTCTCAAATAAATAAAATCTAAAATTAAAAAAAAGAAAGGGGCGCCTGGGTGGCTCAGTTGTTAAGCGTCTGCCTTTGGCTCAGGTCATGGTCCCAGGGTCCTGGGATCGAGCCCCGCATCGGGCTTCCTGCCTCGCAGGAAGCCTGCTTCTCCCTCTCCCACTCCCCCTGCTTGTGTTCCCTCTCTCACTGTGTCTCTCTCCGTCAAATAAGTAAAATCTTTAAAAAAATAAAAAAGAAAGAAAAAAAAGAATCTGGTTAAATAAGTGATCGATCCATGCCAAAGTGACTGAAAAGAATGTGGCAGATCTGTATGTACGACTTGCACAGGTGAACATGAACTCTCCTGGAGTGGAAAAGGTAAGTTGCAGAAGTACAACTACCCTCACACAGTACTGGTGGGAACATAAAATGGTGCAGTCACTTTGGTTTTTGGTTTTTTTTTTTAAGATTTTATCTATTCATTTGAGACACAGAGATACAGAGAGAGAGAGCATGAGCCGGGAGAGAGGCAGAGAGAGAGGGAGAAGCAAGCTCCTCCCTGAGCCAGGAGCCTGATGTGGGGCTCGATCCCAGGACCCTGGGATCATGACCTGAGCCAAAGGCAGACGCTTAACCATCTGAGCCACCCAGGCGCCCCTGTGCAGTCACTTTGAAAAACAGTCCGGTGGTTTCTCAAAGGGCTAGACACAGAGTTACCATATGATCCAGCAAGTCCAGTCTAAGCATGCACCCCCCAAATTAAAAACATGTCTACACGAAAACTTGTATATGAAATGTTCCCAGCAGCATTATTCACAATAGCCAAGAGGTGGAAACAAATCAAATGTCCATCAATGGATGAGTGGATCAACATGATGTGGTCTACCATAAAATGGAATATTATTCAGCTATAAAAAGAAGTGGGGTACTGACACATGCTGAAAAGTGGGTGAACCTTGGGGCGCCTGGGTGGCTCGGTGGGTTAAGCGACTTTTGATTTCGGATCAGGTAGTGATTCCAGGGTGGCACTGGGTATGGAGCCTGCTTAAGAGTCTCTCTCTCCCTCTGCTCCTCCTCCCCACCCCAAACCCCAAAACAAAAAACCCCAAAGTGGATGAACCTCAAAAACATGATGCCAAGTGAAAGAAGCCATTCACAAAAGGCCACATCCTGTATGATTTCATTTACAGGAAATGTCCAGAATGAGCAAATCTACAGACAGAAAGTAGACTGATAGCTACCAGGGGCTGGGGAAAGTCAGGAGAAATGCTAGTGGGTATGAGGTTTCCTTTGGGAGTGACGAAATGTTCTAAAACGGCCTGTGGTGATGGCCACAGAGCTCTGTGTATATACTAGACATCAGCGAACTGCACACTTTAAATGGGTGAATTGTACGGTATGTGCTTTATACCTTAAGTTGTTCTATGATTTTAAAAACATATAGGAAAGAAAAAAAAACAGATGGGGGCAAAATAAGACCCTTTACCATTTATTTAAGTTTTTTTTTTTTTTTAAAGATTTTATTTATTTATCTGAGACAGAGAGAATGAGAGAGACAGAGAGCACATGAGAGGGGGGAGGGTCAGAGGGAGAAGCAGGCTCCCTGCCGAGCAGGGAGCCCGATGCGGGACTCGATCCAGGGACTCCAGGATCATGACCTGAGCCGAAGGCCGTCGCCCAACCAACTGAGCCACCCAGGCGCCCTAAGATTTTTTTTTTTTTAAGATTTTATTTATTTATTTGAGAGAGAGAATGAGAGAGAGCACATGAGAGGGGGGAAGGTCAGAGGGAGAAACAGACTCCCCGCTGAGCAGGGAGCCCGATGCGGGACTCGATCCCAGGATTCCAGGATCATGACCCGAGCCGAAGGCAGTCGCTCAACCAACTGAGCCACCCAGGCGCCCTAGACCCTTTACCATTAAAAAAAATAATCTTTGTGTCTCTCTAACCTGTCTGGTAGGATACTCTAGAAACTTGATGACAGTGATGGATGGGGTTGTCAGGACGGAGGTGGGAGGGAAATTTAGTTTTGGTACTATGTGCACGTGCCACTTATTCGAAAAAGTTAATTTTTTTTTAAAACGTGAAAGGGGTTGTGCGCCCAGGTGCTGCCTCCATCCCGGCCCCCCCACCCCCCCGCCCTGGCCGGGTCAGGGGTCCGAGACGCAGGACCCTCCCTCCAGGCCCCATCCACCCACCCTGGGGACGTCTCCCAGGCTCCGCGGGGCTGCGCTCGTGCTCGCTCACCTGTGGCTCCAAACACCACCACCAGTTTTCTGTCCGCCATGCTAGCCGGCGCGGGAAGTGCGGTCCCGGAGGCCAGGGGGCGGTGGGACGCGCGAGGTCTGTGATGCGTCCACCGGTCCCTCCTGGGACGACCCCGAGCGCGCACCGCGTGTGCCCAACGGGCGCCAGACACCCCGACCCCGTCCCCCACCTCCCGCACGGAACCTCCGGCCGCCGCGATCTCCACGCCCCAGCCCCGGTGGGAAACCTTGGAGCCGGAACGGTGGGCCCGGGCCTTGCAGCCGAGTTCACCGTCGGGAGGTGTGGGGAGGTGTGGAACCCGCGAGAAGGCTGACCCCGCCCGCAGCTCCAGCCCCGTCGCCCTGGCAAAGCCGCCTCTCCCCGGCCGTCCTGCGAGAAGGGACCCCAGGCCGCGCTGCTTCGGGACTCCTAGCGTCCGGGCCCTGACTCCGCGCGGAGCTGAGCTGCCATCCCCCCCTCGGCGGGCACAGATGGTTCGTCCCGGATCACGCGGGCCTGGGCGTGCGTCCGCGCTGCGCAGCCCCGGCGGCTTGCGGCAACTGGATTTGCGGGTCTCCTGGGCTCCGCGAAGTGCACGTGCGGAGCAGCTTGGCGGGCGGCTGGCGGTGAGGCCTACGAAAGCAAAAAAACAGAAAAAAAACACATGGTTTTATCTTGCATGAACATCTGGAACTTGCAGATACGGGGTGTCACCTAAAGATAATTAAACAGCATCTGGGACTCTCAACCCCCAAGGCTCTGAGTTCTTGCAAGCCTGACTCACCTTTGAGGTTGCGACTAGTTGCACGGATTTGAGTTATTTTAGCAGAAAAAGTGAGATTTCTCTGTGTTCAGCTAAAACTCAAAAATGGTCATGTTGCTCCTCTCCTGAAAACGTATTACTGGGTAATAATTTTTTTTTTCTTTCGTTTACTCATTCATTTCAAAATGTGTATTGACCCATCCGGGAATGTCAGCTTCGTAACAGCAGGCACATCTCTGTATTCACTGCTGAATTTCCAGCACTTAGCACAGCACCTGGCACGTAGGCGCTCAATAAATATTTGCTGACTGACCCGTTGTCTAAACATCTAGACACTGGAGTTCCCCGGAAACCCAGCTAAAACTGGTGCTGTTTTCCCAAATCTAGTGGTGGAGATAACTTATAGGGTAATATGTATTTTATTTATGTAAAATATTGGTCTTTATTATAAAATGCATGTATTTATTTTAATACATATTATGTTTACTGGTGTTTATAAATGAAGATTTCATCTATGTGTTCATCTTGCATAAATCTTTTGCAGTCTCCATCACATCCTGTTATGTTATGTCTCTATGCTGAGACTGTAATGTTTGCCTGGGTAGGACTCACCACGTTAGATAGATAGGGCTAATCCTTACTCACTCCTTAAGATTCCACATAGCCATCACCTCCTCCAGGAAGCCCTTCCCGGACCTCTAAGCTAGGCTAACTATTCCTATTCTATTCCCATCTCTATCCCACTGATAAAATTGTCTACCATAGTAGGAGGGCTTCCTGAGATCTGGCCTATGTTATGTTTCTCTCTGTATCTCTTTCTTCTGGCACCATATCCAGCACTTACTAGGAACTCAATTAATACCTACTAAATGGAACCCAAGTGCATAGTAGTGTGTTAAAGGATGAGGGTTTTCTTCAATTACGTAAGGATAAAGCACAAAACCCAATGTCTCAAGGTCTCCACTTTAAGGAAATAAATCCAAACCACAAGGCATGTAGTAGGACCAGCTGCAGTTTGCAAGGCCCAGTGCAAAATGAAAATGCAGGACTCCTTGTTCAAAAATGATCAAGAATTTCAAGAAAGCAACAGCAGAGCATTAAACCAAGTGTGAAGGCCTTCTCACAGAGGGACCCTGTGCAAATGCTGGGGTTACGAGCCCAGGAAGCCAGCCCTGGTGCCCAGGTTTAATTGAGTAGCATCCCAGGGACACAAGGAACTCAAGGGACACAAGGAACTCCATGCCTTTGGCCTTCCAACCTACAGCTTGGAAATCAGTGCAGGCAATGAGTGCCAGAATGGCATCTCTGCCCCCGGGCTTCTGGTCATTGGTGCTGGTGCCAGGGGTTCTGTCTGGAAGTGGGTAGGTATTGACAGCCTGGGCAAAAGTCTTGTCTGTTGAAGCCCCACCCAGCCCATGACACCACAGTGGTCCCCTGAGGCCTGAGGAGAAAGATTTGGCTATTGACTGGTGTGCTCAGCTGTGACTCCGCACTTCCTGTGGGTCTTTATATCTGACGGAAGACTTCCTCCAAAGCTCTTGCCAGTTCACCAAGCCCAGTGACTCGTGGTAGTAATGATAACGGCGGGGCGGGGTGGGTGGGGGGGAGACACCCTTCTCTGAGCTCCTCTGATGTGTCAGATAAGCTCCACATTTATCTCATTTGAATTTTATTTATGTAATCTCTACGCCCAATGTGGGGCTCAAACTCAGAAAATCAAGCCAGGCGCCCTCCCCCCCACATTATCTCATCTAAACCCTCAAAGCAACCCCTCTTCAATCAGTGTCACTGGATTTAATTCAATTTTATGTGTATGTATTTGGGGCAGGGGCAGTACAGTGTGATTTCCAATTATTACTTTTTAAAAATTCATTCTTTTTTAAATTTGGTTTTGACAGCCAAGTAACGTATAATGCATTTATGCATCTCGTAAAAACATTTAAATAGTACAGATAAAGCACAAGCAAGTGACCCTCGACCTCCCTCTGACATTCTAGTGTGTAAACTTTCTTGGCCTTTGCATGCATTTAGATATCTAAACGTGAACATGTGGAAAGAACATTTTGTAGTTAAAAAATAAAAGGGATCATACTGAATATATTTTCCCCCAAATTTTATTTGACATATAGAAAATTTGAAGTAACTATATAGTGAACACCCATACATATACTTACCACCTGGATTCCACAGTTAACATTTTGCTATATTTATCAGACACCTATTATCCATCAACTATCTTATTTTTTGATATGTTTCAAGTAAATTGCAGACATCAGTGCCCTTCACTCTTAAACACTTCACATACACAATAGAGTTCAATACTTTTTAGGTTAAACTTACACACTGTCAAATGTATTTTTGTATTTTCCTACATCTTGCTTTTCCCTTCTGCTTAACCATCCTCCCTAAGGTGGTGTCTGCCCTTCCTTCTTTATTTTTTAAAGATTTTACGTATTTATTTGACAGAGAGATAGCACAAGTAGGCAGCGCGACAGGCAGAGGGAGAGGGAGAAGCAGGATCCCTGCTGAGCAAGGAGCCCAATGCGGGGGCTCTTTCCCAGGACCCTGGGATCATGACCTGAGCTGAAGGCAGAGGCTTCACCGGCTGAGCCACCCAGGCGCCCCTGCCTTTCCTTTTTTAACGGAAGCACAACTCCGTTGAATAGATGTGCCCCTGTCAACCCCCACCCCATCCTCCTTTAATGGACGTTTAGGTTGTTTCAAGATTTTCACCCAAATGACGTACGCATCCCCTTAGGTGTTGCAATGACCTTCCTTGCTTATGCCTCTTTGGGTTCTCGCACGCGTTGTTCTACGAAAGCTACCGAGAAGTGTAATTGAGCAAAGTGAAGGCCCATTCTTAATTCTAACAGATCTCGCTAAATTGTCCCCGCTTCCCCTGTAACTCCCACGAACACGGCACGTTCCGCACACCTTTGTCAACACCGGACAATACGGGTCATTTAATCTGCAGCCAGCTCCAAGGGTAAAGAAATGACGGGAAGCCAGTGCGGCTGGAACAAAAAGGGCAGGTGGAGCCCAGCGCAAGAGGAAACCGGACAGGCGGTGACACGGGGCACGGAGAGCGCGTAGCCCCGAGGCACGGAGAGCGCGTAGCCCCGAGGCACCCTCATTAACACCTGCTCTAGTTAACCCGCTCTCTCGGGAGCGCCCAGACTCCCCTACCGCCAGGTGCCCCGCCGGAGTCGCCGCGTGTCCGCCGCAGGGGCGTGTCCGCCGCAGGCTCCGCCCCCGCGGCGTGCGCGCGTCGGGCCGCCCTTGCACCGCCCGCTCGGCTGCGGCGGCCGCGGCACTTCAAGGAGTCGCTGGCTGAGGCGCGGACTCGGCGACGGACGGTCGGCCGAGCGGACCAGAGGCCGGTGAGTGGCCCGCGCCCTCCGCGGCCCTCCTCTGGGCTCCTCGGCGAGTCCGGCCGGCTCGGGCCTTCGAGACCTGGGCCGGACAGGCGGCGGCACTCTGCGGCCCCGGCGCCGGCCTGAGGGTGACCCGGCGGGCCGGGGCGGGGGGCGGCCGGAAACGGGGTGAGCGCGGATGGGGCCGAGTTGAGGGTCCCCGCTTCCTACGCGCTGCTTCGGCGGGCCGGCCAGGCCCGAGCGGCCGGTCCGCGTCGGGCCCCATTGGGCCCAGCCCCTCGCGGCGTCACGAGTGTGCAGGGCGAGGTGACCCCGGGGGCGCCGCGTGCCGTCTTGGCGTTCCCGGAGGGGGTTGCAGCCTCCGACGGCCGTGAGCCCACCGGGACTCCCGCCTGTCTCCGGGCGCCCGAGGTCTGTGCCCCGCGTGGCGGCTCCTGCGGGCTCTGCGCTTCCTCCTGACTCACCTCAGTCGGAAGGGCGCTTTGAGTCACTGTCATGACTTCATGAGTGACCCGCGGCCGCCGGGGCGCAGACCGGTCGGGAGGGACCGACGCCCGGGGCGGCCGGTTAGTCCGGGCGGGGAGTTTACCAGTCACCTCGTCGGCGCACTGCTGTAGGTGTATTAATTGCCCGGGGTCGCCAGGAGCGCCTTGCACAGTCTTTCTGTGCTCAAGGCCTGCCTGTGTCGTGCGATTTATGTGGATTCTTGATGAACCGCTTGTTGTGGTCTGTAGCAGTTCATGTTCATGGCTCTATGAACCAGACAAGGCGGCCTGTGATTGGGGGTGGTGGGGGGGGACACCGTATAATGCTCTGCAGTTCACTGTCAGCCCCTTCCAAAAGCCTGTGAGTTGATAGGTTTTTCCACTTATAAAATGGAATTAATGATGAGACGCGGGTTCAGTGACTTCACCTGCATCCCACAACGGAGAAGTCGCCACAGATGGTTTTGATTCTAGTCGTCTGCCTACAGATCCGATGATCTTTCCTAAACAGGGTCTTAGAGATTGGAAACGGGTTATGTCGTTTAAGCTCTCTTTTCCCTCTCCCGGGAAACGGTCTTACAAGTAGAAGGAACAGGAGCTTATTGGTTTTGTGTATTTGAATTTCTGGTATGACATTAGCCGGTGTGTTCTGATTAAAATTTTAACTCCCATATTTAAAAATTGTAGTTTTTCTTTTTGCAAGGAGTGGGTTAAGGAATACACTTTAGTAATATGTGCTTTATTCTATAGGTTTTTCTTTTCTTTTTTCAAGAAACATCACAAGCTTACCAGAAGCTCACAGCTCACTTGGGTATTTGCAGATTTACTTGGTGGAATTGGAAACACTTTTAAATACAGCACCTAAGCCAAAACACTTGTGAGAGTGTGGGAATTAAAGGGGCCTTGCAAACGCTCACTGAGTAACCCCATCTAACTGGGGATGCGAGGAGGAAAATCTTCGGGTTCTCTTATTGTCTGGTTTGATTTGCTTTTTTTCTTCTGCTTGGGCCAATAAGGTGAGATGCTGTGAGTCACCAGAGTCAGGTGTATGAGCTACTCTAGAAATGACAATGCCAAATGAAAAGATGAGTTACAGAAAGTATTCATTGCCCTTAGCTCACGCCTTACTGAGTTTGTTGAAATGCAAAATTGGACAGCTGGGGCCTTTGAGCTACCTTGATTTTTTCTTTTTTTTTTTTGGTTTTCTTTTAATACCTGACTCTCTTCGTAGGACAGTTGAACTGCATCAGTATTATATCAAAAAGTAGAGTATCACTCCTTCAGGAGAAAGATACTTTTGAAAATTGGAATTGTAGGGTCACCTGGGTGGCTCATTCGGTTAAGTGTCTGCCTTCAGTTAAGGTCATGATCCCGGGGTCCTGGGATTGAGCCTCATGTCCTGCTCCCTGCTCAGCAGAGGTCTGCTTCTCCCTCTGCACCCCCCTCTGCTCTCTCAAATAAAAAAACAAAACAAAAAAACAACTGGAAATGTGTATTTATTGTAAAGTTGAGAATTCAGTTTGTTAAAAAAAAAAGATGAAAAATTTGAACTGTAAGTTACCTCCTGCTATGTTCTTGGCCACAGTTAACTGAAAAGTTGTAAATAGACATTTAATGCAATCTTTTGTTCTTACAGTAATCAGTGAGAGAAGAGCTCTGGATTACATCTTTTGTGTTAAACGTTAAGGGTTATGTGCTTTTTAACTAAATTTATTATATCTGTTAAGTTTGCAAAAACATAGATGAAAGCTCTTTTGTTGTAACTTGAATGATTTCTCAGGATATTTTGCAGTACTGAGAAGCCGTGCCATTTATGATTAATTCTTGGGAGGGAGGGAGGGAGAGGAAGGGACAGAAAAGTAGGAGGGGGAATCTTTAATTGGAACAGTTACTGTAACTGCTTGTAACAAGGTCTTTTTAAAAATTTTTTAATATTTTGGGCGCCTGGGTGGCTCAGTTGGTTAAGCGACTGCCTTCGGCTCAGGTCATGATCCCAGGGTCCTGGGATCGAGTCCCGCATTGGGCTCCCTGCTCAGTAGGGAGTCTGCTTCTCCCTCTGACCCTCCCCCCTTTCATGCTCTCTCATTCTCTCTCAAATAAATAAATAAAATCTTAAAAAAAGAAAATGTTTAAAAAAATAAAATTTTTTAATATTTTAATTTTTTTAATTTTTTATTTTATTTATTATTTTTTTAAGATTTTATTTGACAGAGAGAGCACAGGCAGAGGGACAGAGAGGGAGAAGCAGGCTCCCCGCTGAGCAAGAAACCCGATGTGGGACTCGCTCCCAGGACCCTGGGAACATGACTTGGGCCGAAGGCAGCTGCTTAACAGACTGAGCCACACAGGTGTCCCAATATTTTAATTTTTAAAAAAGATTTTATTTATTTATTTGACAGAAACAAAGCGAGAGAAGGAACATAAACAAGGGGAGTGGGAGAGGGAGAAGCAGGCTTCCCGCTGAGCAGGGAGCCGGATGCGTGGCTCTGATCCCAAGACCCTGGGATCATGACCAGAGCCCAAGGTAGACGCTTAACGACTGAGCCACCCAGGCGCCCTCTTTTCTTTTTTTTTAAATACTGGAAGATATTTTACTCTGGTGACCATTCAGGTGTTCTGTAATATTGTTCACTGTATGGTTTACTTCTCTACATTGACTCCGTTTACCATAATATATTATCTCCCATTGTATTACACATTTTATTTTATTATATTTTATTATTTTTTAAAGATTTTATTTATTTATTTGACAGAGAGACACAGCGAGAGAGGGAACACAAGTAGGGGGAGTGGGAGAGGGAGAAGCAGGCTTCCCGCTGAGCAGGGAGCCCGATGTGGGGCTCGATCCCAGGACCCTGGGATCATGACCTGAGCCAAAGGCAGCCACTCAACAACTGAGCCACCCAGGCACCCCTGTATTACACATTTTAAAGCCAACTAATGAAGGCAGCTGCGGCCCTCAGAAATTTCATTTTTAAATTTCTAATAAATTTGACACACAGTTCTGAAATACAGCAGCCCATAACTGATGGTCTGGTTTAGCAACATTACATATAATTATGAATATGCAGTTACATTTATATAGATTGCAAGAAATCTTGCATTTCTGAAGGACCATTGTCTTTCCATTTAAGAAATAACACTGATTTTTGGGGCTCACTACGGGTAAGGTAAAGGTGTATAGCTATTGTAAAAGGAATCCATTAACAAACAGCCCATCAAAGAACTTGCAATCATGGGGGACTGAAATGGAGCCAGGAACTCTCTCTGGGTCGTCATATCAACACATTTATATTCAGACCTCACAAGGCAATATTCTGAACTCTTAACTAGGCATTTCAAAACAGCAATTAAATTCCTACGGCTCTTATGTGAACAGGTTTTTTCTATTGCTTTGATGTAATTTTCAAAGGCTTTTAGCAAACATGCATTTCTCTGTGTGATAGATTTCTTTAAGCAAATACTGTAATAGTAATCCAAGGGCTGACTAGTCTATTTATGGAATAGGAATTACGTCAGTGCGTGTATTCTTGCTGTTCAGTGATGGGATGTTGAGGAATTTTCTTTCTTCAGATGTGTGCTTGAGTATCTCGCTCAGTGAAAGTCTGCAGATAGACTTTTTGTTTGTACTTCAAAGTGATTGAATTGTTGGGGCACCTGACTGGCTCAGTTGGTAGAGCATGCAACTCTTGATCTTGGGGGGTCATGAGTTCCAGGCCCATGTTGGGCATAGAGTTCACTTAAAAAAAAAAAAAAAAAAGCTGGGCGCCTGGGTGGCTCAGTTGGTTAAGCGACTGCCTTCGGCTCAGGTCATGATCCTGGAGTCCCTGGATCGAGTCCCGCATCGGGCTCCCTGCTCGGCAGGGAGTCTGCTTCTCCCTCTGACCCTCCCGACCCTCCCCACTCTCATGCTCTCTCTCTCTCTGTCTCTCTCTCTCAAATAAATAAATAAAATCTTAAAAAAAAAAAAAAAGTGACTGAATCGTTAAGTACAAGATTAAGCTGATTAGTCAAATGTAACCATTTTTTTCATTCACAGCTATTCAACATTAGACAGTTTTGTTTTACTTGTCTATGTATCTAAATACATACTCATTTATAATAAAGTGAAATATAAATGGTTGGTTTCTCCCAAAAAAGGAAGTTGTGATGGTATATTTTTGACCATGAGAAAAACATTTAAGCCCTTTGAGCTAGTTTCTGTATTTGAAGAATGGGGTTAATACTTAATAAGGTTGGGGTGCCTGGGTGGCTCAGTCATTAAGCGTCTGCCTTCAGCTCAGGTCACGATCCTGGGGTCCTGGGATCGAGCCCCACATCAGGCTCCCTGCTCGGTGGGAAGCCTGCTTCTTCCTCTCCCACTCCCCCTGCTTGTTTCCCCTCTCTTGCTGTATCTCTCTTTGTCAAATAAATAAAATCTTTAAAAAAAATACTTAATGAGGTTAAGGTTAGCACCTTAAAAGACCTTTAGTGCCTTGAATGGTGTTTATAGATCTAAGACAGGGGTTTTCAAACCTTTCT